CAGGAATGAGAGAATAGCTGAACGCAACCACGGGCGCCTGAGGACCAGGCAAACTGTGCTGAAAGCTGCTCCCCTCCCTGTACAGCCCAAAGGAAGGGAACACCGAAGGAGAGCTCCCTTCACTGACTGCCTGCGCAGCCAGGACACCCCACGGGGATTTACAAGATGTTTTGGCTGAGAAGGCTCTGCCCAGAACACTGTGCACAGCTCTGAGTCAAGGAAAGCCACCCTTTGACACAGAGCCACCGCCTCCTCCTAGGCTGCTCCAGCTTTGCTGCTGAGCCCAATTCTCCCTGCTACTTTTCTGAGTCCCCTCCTGCTGCTTGGCCAACACTGTGAGACCCGGGTTTCTGGATACCTCTCAACAATCACCCCTGCACCCAAAGCGATGCTCTCTGCCTGCCTTCCTGAGCCCCTGCTGAGGCAGAGGGACCAAGGTGCCACCCCCCAGGGGGTTTTGGAGCACACAGCTGCACACAAGACATGCAAGGCTCAACAGCTTTGCAATATTTATTCTTGAAAAAATAATTCAATTGAGAAAGCGGCAAGCCCTGGGGTTGCCCTTGCTCCCAGCCATACCACGGCCTGGCAGCTCCCCATCCTCTTGGCTTCCTGACCACCACACGGGAGTCTCGCGAGGAGCAGGGACAGACGGACGGAGAACAGCACCGAGCAGGCCTGTCTTGGTGCGCAGAGAGGGAAGGAACGAGGACGTCAAAGCCCACAAGTCGGATCCTGCTGTCACTGAAAGCAAAGGGCCCTGCAGGACAGGGAGCAGCACTAGGGGACAGGGGAAGAGGGGGACTCAAGTCTGGCCATGTGCCTGGCTGCAGGACTGTCCCCCAGCCCCAAGGAGCTTGTGGCGGGCCTGACCCCTCCTGTGGGGATGAGAAAGGAGGGAGTTAACTTAAAGAAGAGAGGAAATTTGACCTTGAGAACTGAGCCACCAAGAAAAACCACCGTGGCCATGGAGGTTCTTCCCAAGCAGGACTTGAGGCGCAAGCAGCCAGCCCCGCTGTCGGGGAGCAGGGAAGGGAAGCCGAGTCCCTGTCTCCCAGCATTTAAATGACCTTTTTTAAATGCCCAAGGGCCAGCTGAGACTGCAGAACAACCCAGGCACCCACCAGCACCAGAGTCCCAGCGAAGAGCCGAGGCCAGGGGGGTTGCAGCAAGGCAGCGATGACCTCGAGCCCCAGGGCTGCGACCAAAAGGTCTTGACGGTGCCAGGATGAAGAGGGTGCAGCGGGGACCTGTCACATCCACGCAGCCATGCAGGCACTGCCCACCCAGCTGCGCTGTCCCCACGGCCGACGAGGCAGCGTACGAGGGACCCCAGGGCTCAGAGCCCTGTTCTCATGCTGGAGCTGGGCTGTGCTCTGCTCACGTGGGGGTTATTGGGACCAGAGGAGCAGATCTGCTGCATTCACACTCATTTCCTGCTGCTGGGCAAGGGAGGGAGGAAGAGAGGGAATGAAGGATGGAGCTGGGGGCTTCAAGGAGAAGGCCCATAGGACGGTGCCCTTGCAGGTTAGGGGCTGCCAGCTCTCCCTGCTACGTTTCTGCTATCCCCCCTTCCCCTCAAGTAATAAATAAATAAGTTAGTGTAGTGTAGATCCCAGGGGGAGCTGCCGTGGGTGCTCCCAGGTGCCCTGATGCTCAGCTCACAGTGAGAAAAGAGAGGGCAAGAGCACCTGACCCAAAGGGTGCTGCAGCTGGGGGGTCACCCCTCACATTTGCTCCCTGTGGCCACAGGGACAGCACTGGGCAGCAAAGCCCGTGCCGGGCAGCAAGCTGAGCACGAGCGACCTGGGCAGAGAACTTGACTCTGTTGCATGGGTCAGACAGGGAAGGTAGCGAATGCAGGGACGAGGAGTGTCCGGGATCGGGGCAATTTGTACCAGGTGGTTGGGATGGGGCGCTGGGCTCCTTCCCAAGGCAGGGCAGCCCCTGCTCCCTCTGCACAGGGCCCGTATCCAGCCAGGCTGCCCATCCCGGCTCGACCTGCAGCTTCCCTGGCAGAGACGTACCGTGCAAAGGGGAGATTCGGGAGAAGAACCCTTGCCCTGAGCAAGGGCTTGGGGCAGCTGGCGCACAGGGGGACGGGGCAGTAGCACAGCACGCACGGTGCCAGGCTGCAGTGTCACTCGCCGCCAGCACAGGCTGCTCGAGGGCCCCGGCCAGCCCTGCCTCTGCGCAGGGGGCTGCAGGGGGGGGGTGTCCTTCGCTGCTCGTCCTGCAAGGGCATCCCCTTGGCGGCCCTCATGGTGGGGATGGGGTGTCCCCTACCCTATGCGTCCGCGGCAAGGCCAGCTCTTCTGCAGCATTCCCTTCTGCCTACAGGCTGAGCTGCACTGCTGCCTGTGGCCCAGGTAACGAGCTGGGATGCAGGGAGACATCGAATCCAGGGCAGTCTTCAGGGTGCATCCATGGTGCAGGAGAGAGGAGAGATGCTGGAAGATTCCCCTCTTCGCCACTGCGCTGGGCATAAAGCCAGCCAGGCAAGAGTTAATAAATAAAACCTGGCTAGTCAGCTGCAGCGCTTCCTACCAGAGCCTGCTGCTCTGCTCAGGGCCTGGCAGTAGGGGCAGAAGAGCCATGGGCATTTCTGAAGGCCCCCCCTCCAGCCCAGACTGAGCATCCTCTGCCTCCAGCCTTGCCCAGGGAGCCGAGGTGGGGAGAGCAGCGTTAGTAAAGAGTCTGTGTTAAAAATGTTCCCATGCCGTGGGTGTAGCGAATCTGCAGGGAAGGATCCCACGCCAGGAAGAGGGGGACCCAAGATCTCATTTTGCAGCCTGAACCTGGAGCTCGTGTCTGGTCACCAGCTGCCGAGGGCAGCTGCCCACCTGGTCTCTGCCTCTCCAGCCCCCCTTCCTGCCCAGCTGTTGGTCTCATGTCTGCTCTGCTGCAGGGACCGCTGGCGCCGCCACTGCCCCCTCCTCCTTGGCAGGGGGCTCCATGTAGATCGGGGTCACTGAGGGGGGCTTCTTGGACCTGTGGGCAAGGAGGAAAAGCCAGCTGGGAATGGGCAGGGATGGTGGACCCACCTCAGAGCCCTCACTCACACCAGTGCTGGCCTCCCACCCCCATACAGGGTCTCCTTCCCACTGGAAGCCTCCTCCATGCCTAGGCAGGTATCCCAACCCGCTCCCACCACACAGTGAGGGGGATGCTCTGCATGAGGAACGCTGGGTGATGCAGTGCCATGGGCAGGGATGGTGCCACAGGGATGAGGGGACAATCCAGGTTGCTGTGCCCCTGCTACTCACGAGTAGGGAGAGGCAGGGACGCCCACCACGAGGAAGTGGTTCTTCTTGCGGAAAAGCCTCCATAGCCCCTTGTGATTTCCACGGACATCCAGGTCCCAGATGTGGAGGCACTAGGATAGAAAGGGAGAAAGAGGAATCAATGTTCACAGCCTTGGATGCTCCAGAGCCTGCTGTAAAAACCAAGAGCTTAACCGGCATCCGAGGGCAACAGGAATTGTTTTGGACCAGGACCAAAAGCAGAAGCCAGACAATTCCCAGCAATGCCAAGGCCAGTGCAGGGGTGTGGACAGGCTGAGCCAGGCCCCCACCTTGGCAAGCTGAGTCCATGTGGTAAAATCAGCTTCCTGCTCCATCCTGATGAACATGACGTAGACCTTGCCCTCAGTGTCAGGCACAAAGGAGTCCTCACAGGGGTTCTTGCTGTGGTCCAAAACCTCAGCCTCACTGTAGGAACAGAAATGGGAGTGAGAGGGGACCCCAGCTTCCTCCCATACCCACCACAGGGCACTCCAGACAGGCAATCAGTGGCTGGGGCCACCTCCACCCTTTCTTCTGTCCCAGGTAGTTCACCCAGCACACCCTGGGGTCTCCCGGTTTTCTGGCAAGCCTCATGCGCTTACCCAAGGAGCCGATGAATTTCGATTTCGTAGGCATCCTTCTTCAAGCTGTCAGGGAAGACAGAGCACAATGATCATGAAGAGTCAGAGTCTGGCAAGGGACCTTCCCGAAGCAGTCTCAAGTAACACAGTGCAGTGTAACACTGAAAGGCAGGTCAAAAGAGCAGACTGCCATGTGCAACACTTCTCGGGAGGACATGGCAGAAAAAGGGCCAAAAGGGTCCCCTTTGGGCAAGTCTGCAGGCACACCTCCAAGCTCTCGCCACCAAACCACACACATCTTTGAGGAAAGAAAGAAAACTCACTAGGCTGGCTGCATACACCCTGAGAGCTCTCAGCTTCATAGCCAGCCTGAAGGATCGGATGCTGTGTTTCTGCAAGGGAACTGACATCTGTCCCAAATTGCTGCTGGGGACCCACAAACAAGAATGAGGGGTGTTTTGTGTGCAGGTTGCTTTTGGGCTTCCTGCAGCATGGGTTAGATGAACCCATCCCACAGAAACCACTGCAAGGAGGACTCAGTGTGGTGGGGACGAAAGTGAAGGTTGTCATAGCAGAAGGAAGGGAGATATCCCTGGCACAAAGGGGCAGAGCCAGATACAACTGTCTCATCCCAATCAACTCATAACTAGCACTTACCTCTCCACATTTTTAAGCTGGACATTGGGGACTGTGTTGAACTTGTGCTTTTTGAAATAGGCTTCCTAGGAGGAAAAGAAAGCAGAAAATGGAAAGGGGATTTGGTCTGGAGAGCAGCAGTGCTGTGAAGTCACCTTGAGCATCCCCACTGTCCGTGCAATGAGCTGGGGGTCACAGCCCAGCACCCAGAGAGGACGTGGCAGAACTAGGGGCTGGGGCAGGTCACTCACGTGAAAGTAGCCGTTCATGTTGAGCCCCACGATGCCAAAGTGGTAGGAGCGTGAGATGTCAGGGATGATGCATTCCCGGCCCTTCCGCTGCTCAGGCATCCGCATCCACATGTCCCAGTCCCAGAGCTGGGGAGGGGAAACTGTCATTCACACTCAGGTCTGGGGATGTCATTGGTAGAGGAGCTGTGATGGAGCAGGGACCTTCCCTTCTGCCCGCACTGGCTGGGGTCCACACAGTCCCAGCCTGCCTGGGCAGCTCTACAGCTGAGTGCATGGTCCTCAACTTAGAGTCTGCCCCAAATCCACCCTGCTTGGGCATCCAATCCAAGGGAAGCTCAGAAAGAGCCAGGCCTCCTCCAGAGCTGAGCCCATGGGGATCTGGACTTACTGTTGCTGATATACAGAAGGGTAAGAAGACAGGGCCCATCCAGGACACTCACCTTCTCCGGGGTTGGCCACTTTGGCTCCAGCTCTTCCTTGTACAGGTTTTTGCGGAGTACCCAGCCCAGGCCTGGCATGGTTTCCACGCGGTACAGGAGTGAGGGGTCCTCAGCTGTGTGCTCGTAGCCCTGCAACATTCCAGGGAGCACTCAGAGATCCCCAAGGAAAACAGGAAGCCTTTTGCTCCATGGAGACCCCCAGCGTGGGGAACAGGAGAGAGCCACTGGGAAGCCCAGGGCAAGGACAGGGCAGTCATTTGCAAGGGTCCAGTGCAGGGCTGGGGAGATGGACCTACCCCGATGAGTGCTGGCAGAACCCCAGCCCCAGCCCAGCTCAGACACAGCACAAGCTGGAGCTGTCCCTGCTGTGCTGTCCTGCCTGACCCACCTGGTCATTCCAGGCCGAGATGCAGTACAGGCTCTCATCCTCTTCCAGCAGGTAGATCGACTGGCTCAGGAAGCTATGGGAAGAGCAGCGCAGCCCCTGGTCAGGAAACCCTCATGGACAAACCAAAGCAAGCTCGCCAAGGGCACTGCCACTGTAGGGTAGTTTAACCTGATTCTAGGGCTGAGCTGGCTCTCACTCTGCAGGACTGGGCAAGAAGCACCTCACAAAATACACTGCATCTCCATAAGAGAAGGGACAATCAAATCATCTCCTGCCTCCAACAAACCAGGAGAGCCACAGGCTACCTGATCCTGAAGATTCCCATCGCTAAGGCCTAGGACAGACAAGGACTGCCTCTCTGCAGGCAGCAATCAGACCTCTCCTGAGTGGACACCTTGTTCCTAGGAAATGCTCCAACCCATGACGGGAGCTCAGGGCCCCACAGCTTTACCTGAAGAAGTCAACAGAGATGTCAAGGTCTTCCTCCAGAACCACAGCAAACTTGGCCTCCTGTAGAGCGCAGAGAGATGTCACAAAAATGGATGGAGAGGACCAGGATAGAGCAAAGACACCAAGCAGTGTCCCCTGCCTGTGCTGGTCCCTGTGCAGTGCCAGCTCCCATGAGATGGTGTCACTGCCAGGGAGCTCTGTGCTGCCTTGCTCTCGTGAGCAAGTGGATGGACAGGGTCAGGCAGTGGTTCACTCACCGGAAACAGGTTGAAGGTTGCAGTCAGACTGGCTTTGTAGTGCTACAAGAACAGACACATCATTTCCTGCATTAGTATTAATCCCTGAACCACAGGGAGGGGCAGCCTGGCAAGGACGTGGGGCTAAACCTGCCTCTCTTGAATATGATCAGTCCTGTCTCATCTCATTGTGATGCTGGGGGCAACAACAACACCAGGAAGGGGTCTCTCACCTGAGAAACTCTGGCATTTTTAATGCTGATGGGAGTGTGCTGGATTCCAGCAAGACCAAACAGCTCCACGACATCCATCGGCTCCTGCAACAACCGGAATGGAGAAAGCTCAGGAAATGATGGGTCTAGGTACCTTCTCCACCCCTCTGCCAGTGGCAGCAAAACGGTAGCCAGGAGCACAAAAATCCCCTTGCCCCCTCAGTCCCAAAGCACTGCTAGCCCTTGCAATACGCCTAATAACTTGCAGACCAGAAGTTGTATCCCAGCAAGAACCTCTGAGGGGCCTGAATCCCCAGTCCCTCATAGACAGGGCAGAAAATAGTGTGTTTTTCCAGGAACACCTACCTAATAGCTGTTTAACACCGAGACCATAATCAGCTTCACTTTCTCCTGCTGTTGCCAAGAAGGGGACCTCTCTGAACAAGCAATTATCACGGGGGTCAGAAGCAATCCAGAACTGGGCTGACACACCTCCGCTCCAAGCAGGACCCACCCTGGCCTTCTATATCCTCTTTTTAAACACCATCCCTTCCATCACCCAGCCACAGATGGGAGAAGGAGTTCCCATTGCTCCTCTTCCCCCTTTCCTTGGTATCCAGCATGAGCATCCAAGCCACCCCCTCACAGCCAAGGGATGAGCTCCAGTTGCCATGGCAATGGATGCTGCTATCTTTATCTGTCCTGATGTGCTGCAGGAACAGCCTGCACAAAGGCCCCCCAATCCAGCCGTGGTCAGAAAGGTCTGAATCCATCCCGTACGATGCTGCATGGCCTGTTGCAGACACACAGGCTAGACCCCGCCGAGAGCCCTGGCTATCCCATACGCCTGTCCCAGGACACATCCTGCTGCTGGGGAGCCAGTGCTTGCAAGCGGGATCCTCCAGGGTCTAGCTGAGCTGAAAGGAAGGTCCTTGCCCCCTCACCTCCCCTACCTGACCACAGCTTTCACAAGTCTTCTGAGAACAGACCTTTCTGGGGCTCAGAGCCTGCCACCCACCAAGGCCTGGGCAATACCACATCCTCCTGCCTGTGGCCCTGAGGCTCAGCTGTAGGAACCCCCAGCAGGGCTCTCACCTCATAGTACCCGTCAATGAAGACTGTGATCATCTCGGGATTGACTCCCTGAGCCGACAGCAAGGAGCGCAGCATCCTAGGAAAGAGACACAGGGCTCTGAGCACAGCACTGCCCCAGCAGGCTTGGGCCATGCAGCAAATGGTATTAGACAATCCATCTTCAGAGAAAGACTACAGGGACAAGCCACAGCCCAAATCCCTTGCGGTGGGAAAGGCTGTGAGGGATTAGAGTCTAGTGACCCCTTTCCCATGGCCAAGGCCTCTGCAGCAGGCCTGCCAGCATCGCTTATGTGACCCCATGACGACGCTGGATCCTGCCAGCAGGGCACGGGGGAAGGCCTGGGCCTTGCCAGGTCCCTTGACATGAGCTGGAGAAGCGATGTCCCCTAGAAGCACTCACCTGTACAGGTAGTTGGGCCGGTTCCCTGCAATAACAGCTACAGGCACATCGAAGACTTTATTGTTTTTGAGCTGGGGAAAGGAGAAAAAAAAAAAAATAAAAAGAAAGTGTGTGACTAGGACTGAAGGAGGACACCTGACATAAAGCAGGATCTAAGGGGTAGCACAGATGTCATAGATGCTCTGTCTGCAAAGGTACAGGCTCAGCTGCTTCCATCAAGGTTCCTACAGCCATGGTAAACTGGCTGGAGGAAAAGGGAACCCAGCTTCCCTAGTATGACTTGACCCAGGTGTATTTGCCTTACCTTTGCCAGGGCCTAAGAGGTTGCCCAAAGGCAGTTACCGCCCCTCAGCAGTTGCATAAGGACAGGGCTCTGCATCTGAGCTGCAAACATGGGTTCAGGCCAGCCCTCCCTCCTGGAGCCCGTTGGCTGCACTGCCCCTGCCCTTACCGGCTCGGGGTTGAACTCGATGGGGGTGGGGGCT